ATATATATATATATATATATATATATATATATATATATATATACTATTCAAAGAGAAAAGCAGATACTGATCCCACATGAGAAGAAATAGGATATTACATTACTGAGATCACAGTTTAAATCTCTATTAGTAGTTTTAAGAACTGGACTCCACTGGCAACAGAAATTAAGTGAAACCTCAAAAATTATATGCAAAAATTACAGTGTATGTGTATATCTATCTTTTATGGAAAGCCTGTGCTTAGCTTTCATCAAAAACTCAAAAATATCTTAAAACCACATCACAAAGGTAGCTCCATGAACCGGTAAAACACAGAGCTGAAATCCACCCACCCTGTGGTGAATTACTAAGAGACTAAAAAAAAAGCCTTGAAACTCAACAGAACAAGAAGGGAAGTGCCAAGCTTATAGCTTCCTCTCTTCCTGGTCTGCTTAAGTGTGTACATGTTTCTGGTGCTTGGTTCAAAAGGAAAAGTAGGGTTTCTGTCCTTGAGGGCAGTTTTTGAGGTGAGAGGAACAAAGGGTATTAAATGCGTCACTGCAGTCTGTGGTTTTATTGCAGTCCGATGAGCTTTGATTATCTGGTATGAGACCAGTATCATAACATTTGCAATGGTTTCAAGCACTGAATTCTAACGGGCCATCAATAAAAGGCTTCCCATATGTACCTCTGGTTACTTCCATTGCAGCTGTCCAAATGCTTTAGGCATCTCCTTCTTAATCGTATTCCCAACCTCTGCAGCCCTCCCTTTCCAACAAGCTAATAACCCCTACCCCTCCCCAAGAACCAATGCCACCTTTAGATACAGCCCTGCCACATATGATCCATTCAGAGTGCAAAACTGACCAATGGATTTTAATGTAAGAGTATGAAAGTTTATTGATACCAGCTTCTGATTCCACACAGCACCTAAACATTAAGAAACTACTATTTGTCAAGTTTCGGTATAGAACCAAAGAAGATCCACAATTATCTGAAAGAGCTATTAAAATATCCATTTATTCCAAATACATGTCTCTGCGGGGCCAGATTTTCTTCATACTCTTCCATCAAAACAACATATGGCCACAGACTGAGTGCAGAAGCAGATATGAGAATCCTGCTGTCTTCTAATAAACCAGCCATTAAAGAGATTCGCAAAAATATATAAAAAAATGCTACTCCTGTTGCTTTTTTGTTTTAGAAAGCGTTATTTTTCATTAAATGTTACTTGTGTTAACATAAACGAGTTTATAGTTGTTGTTTGTAAATGAATAAATACATATTCTTAAAGAGTTTTAATCTCTACTCTTCTGAGTTTTGGTACTATACACAGATTTGTCCATTTGCTCATTTATTTATTCAGGGGGATGTGAGTGTTCTTTTATCCTAGAAATGTGGGAGCAGATGGCAAAGTAGGACAGAAATGATGATAAGGTCCTGGTCAATGTGCAGACACTCGTGCCAATGATGCAGTGTCCCTGAACTTTTTTTTTTTTTTTTTTTGGTTGATGATGCAGTGTCCCTGAACTTTTTTTTTTTTTTTTTTGGTTGACGTTCGTGTTTCCCAAATCACTATCTCCCGTCCAAGGCTCTGTTCTAGACTCTTAAATCCAGCATAATCGCTCCCTTCACCCCACATCCAATCAACTCTCAAGTCCTGGAAAGGACTTATCAATAGCTTCAAATGTTTCCACTTTTCTCCATCCATCCAAGTTCAGGCTACCTTTATCTCTCACTGAAACCATTACAACAGCCTTCCAACTGCTCTCCCTGGCTCCTGTCTAACCCTTTTCTTACCTGTCCCCTACACTGCACCGGACAGGACATTCACCGCCAGCATCCCATCAACAGGACCAGGACCGAGGGCTCTCATCTCCACTTTACAGATGAGGAAAACAAGGCTCTTAGGTCACTTGCCCAAGTGGGATTTTTAGGAGGCAGATCTGATTGGGTCACTCCCCTAGCTTAACCTCCAAGGACCCTAATTCCCAGGATAAAAGACAAGCTCCTGAACAAGGCCCACAGGCCACGGGCCCTCCATTATCAGCTTCCCAGCACCTGTGCCCCTTTCATCTCCAAGCTTTTTTAACCCCTGTTGTTTGCTGTTCCCTCTGCCTGGGCCACTCTTCCGCCAAGGGTTTGGCTTCGGTGTATCTTCCTTCAGGAAACCTCCCTTGACTCCCTGAGACTGGGGGAGGTACCCTTCTTGGGAGTTCCCATGGCAACCACTACTCACTCTAAGGGTAGCCCTTCTCACACTGTTTTCTTGTTTTGCTTTTTGTTGTTTTATTCCCCCACCCCCATGAGTGAGGTTGTTTCATACTTGTAACACATTTAGGTTCTTTGGTCATATTCTGCATGCCATGCTAGGATCACCTGACCTCCTGAATGATTTTTTAAATTTGCATATATTAAAGGTTTATGCTCTGTGCTGTGAAATTCGATTTCACGCATCTGCCAGTGCAGTATCACACAGGACAGTTTCACTGCCCCGAAAGCTACCCTGAGTTCATCTCTCCAACACGCCCTCCCCACCTCAGCACACTGTTCTAACTGCCTGTTTACCTGACTATCTCCCTCTTGGGTTCAGGATCCACTCTGTTGAATGCGGGGTCCCCAGGATGAGGCAACACCCCATCTGTCTAGTCCAAGAACTGGAAACTCTTTTGGTGCACCGACAGCTCAAACATTGTCCCTGAATGGCCGTGGAGGCTGCTCGAGGGCCCCAGCAGCACTTTTCCACAGCTCTTCCCAGATGCTTGTCTAAATGAACGGAACACACAGATGCCTCGGGCTGCTAGCATGTCTGCTGGGCTCAGGAAGGGGGACCCGCTCAGAGGGACCTGCTGCTCACGAAATGGGTGAGGGTCGACCTCACGAAAGGGAGGGTGTTGAGTGGGGAGCGCACGGGGAACCCTGAGAAGCTTTGGTCGGGGAGCCCCACATTTCAATCAACACACTCCATGGCAGTCTTGGAGCTAGACGGGCACCATCATCATGAGGCTGCAGGAATCAAGGCACGCTCTGTGGACGGCTAGGCAGGCTGCGGCGAGGACTTGGCCTTGAAAGTCTAGGCCATGCTAGAGGCTAGAAGTCTGCCTTTCTAGCTGCTATGATTTGAGAAAGAGTTGGGAGAACTCCAAGGCTGTGGGTGGAGGGGAGATGCTTCTGAGAGCTGAACCGTCAGAGCCCAAACAATCGCTTTCTCTGTGCAGCTGGCTGTGCACCTGGTGCCCGCACAGGGCCCTCTGTGCTTTTGTCCTTCCGCACACAGTGCTGTCCACACATAGACGGGGCTTATAAATACCCTCCATGGGAGAAGTGAAACCACTGACCAGTTCTCCTTTTCTCTGCTGAGCTGGCGCCCAGCAGCTACGAGCAGCTGGTACAAACTCACATTCCCCAGTGTAGCGGTTCAACCCGTTCTTATTATTTTACGCTTGGGAAGCTTTTGGCAAACATCCTGTTTAGAATAAAATGGGAGTCAGACTGACTATCGGGGGCTAAATTTACCACCTAGAAACTTCGAACAAAATAAAAGAGAAAGCAAAGGGAAAGGCAGGCCTACAAGTACACCACCCACAGAGAAGGAACGTCAGCATCTTCTGGCAGCGAGCTTTTTACCTGCACGTAGAAGGTCCTGGAGCTGGTTATTATTTCAAACAGGTTGTCCCTCATCAGCAGATCGCTAGACAGAGAAAGAGATAGAAAGTTACCAGGCATGCTGGTCACCCACTGAGGACTTGATTCACCCTGAGGCAGGTACCCATGCCCCCTACCCTAAAAAGGGGGTTCACAGGCCGTTCCTCTTGCTGCCCTGCCTCAGAAGGCATTACAGGGTTTCCTCTAGCTTCACTTCCTGGAGGGTCTCAAGTGGTTTAACCATCCCCATGGATCCCCCTCCCCAACGCACACCACCACCAGTTCTAACAGGACAAAGCTCCTTGGCCTCCAAAACCTCTTGCCTCACATGCACCACACCCCACACCGTCTAGGACTGTGTGTTTCTTTAGTGGCTCCGATGTACTAATAAAAAGTGCTTGGTGAGTACTGTTTCAAATGTTTTTATTTGAGGGTCAAGTAGATGAATATTTTATTGGTTTTATATATATACACAAGCACACACTGTTCTATGTCCATTATGCTCCATTAAATATATATTTTATATACGTATATATTATTAAGAGACAGACACACAACAGTGTATTTGTAAGATAAAAAACAGTATATTCATTTCAGGTGTACAACATGATTTGATATTTGTATACACTGCAAATGATCACTGTCTCGTACGTAACACTCAAATTTTTTTTCTCGTGATGAGATTATAGCTTTTAAGATCTACTCTCTTAGCAACTTTCAAATATAGAATACACTGCTATCAACCACAGTCACCGTGCTGCACATTGCATCCCCAGGACTTACTGATTTGATAACTGGAGGTTTGTATCTTTTGACCCCCTTCACCCATTTCGGCCACTCCCCACCCTCCGCCTCTGACAACCACCAATCTGTTGTGTTATTTTTTTGTTTGTTTATTTGTTTTTTTTGCGGTACGCAGGCCTCTCACTGTTGTGGCCTCTCCCACTGTGGAGCACAGGCTCCGGATGCGCAGGCTCAGCGGCCATGGCTCAGGGGCCTAGCCGCTCCGCGGCCTGTGGGATCTTCCCGGGCCGGGGCACGAACCCGTGTCCCCTGCATCGGCAGGTGGACTCTCAACCACTGCGCCACCAGGGAAGCCCTTCTTTGTGTTTTTTAATGTGTTATTTTATCCAATCTTCCCAACAATCCAATGAGGCAGTAAGACCTTCCCTACTTTATGGATGGGGAAACCCAGGCTCAGAGAGGTTCCATGACTTGTCCATGGCACCGGAGTAAGGAACCGGCAGAGCCAGGATTTGAAACTGGGTCCAACTCCAGAGTCTACGCTCTTAGTTACTCCACTACCAGGTGCCTCTCCTAATGGACCTGAATCTCTTATTTCCAATGCCTTTCTCCACCCACACAGCAACTGCATCAGCTTCACTAAATCCCTGCTCTCAAAAGGGGACTGGATGCTCAAGAGGAAAAAGGGAAGGAGAGAGTAGACCACTTGAAGATGCTTCAAATTGGGTGTGAGGTTTGGAAGAGGGACCCTACTTCCGCAAGGAAGAGGCGAGAGGTAGCTGATGCTCAGCCACAAACCTCCAATCAGCCGAAATTATTTACAGGGTGAAATGCCTGCTCTGTGTATCCAGTCACTGTGGGGAACATATAAGGAGTAAAAGATCTAATTCCTTCCCCATGAAAGAACATAAAAAAGCAAAACTTTACAGTCAGATGTTAGACCGCGTGTTATATGCCAAGAGTTAGAATAATTCCAAGAAAGGACTAATCACAGGGGGACTTCCCTGGTGGTCCAGTGGTTAAGCCTCTGCACTTCCACTGCAGGGCGGCCCGGGTTTGATCCGTGGTTGAGGAACTAAGATCCTACATGCCATGTGGTGTGGTCAAAAAATTAAAAAAAGAAAAAGAAAGAAAGAAAGAAAAAGAAAGAAAGGACTGATCACAGGCAGGGCTGGCTTCAGGAATCGGGACTTGGAAGGAAATGGCAGGTGCGCTGCCAGTGACATGGGCACCTGGGCAAAGGAGGAGCATGAGACTAAAGCCCCACATGGGCGGGGACAGCAATCAGGGGTCAGACAGACCTGGGGCCCAATCCTGACTCCACTGGGAAAAGGTATTTTAGGAATATTTTTAAAACTTTGTGAGCCTTTCTACCCCAACTGTAAAATGGAAATCAGAAGCCCTCCTCTACCAAGCTTCTTACCACAAAGATCAGTTATAAGTTATATAAGGCATCTCATAAGTTATATGAGGCACCTGGTACAATGAATGTCACAGAGTGGTCATTTGAAACGCATTTCATTAGCTATTATAATTACTTTCTGAGTATCTGAGTGGAGATGGCTCTTCTTTCTGGATAAGATGGTTTAACCTTTTAAACTATTCATGCACATACAGCACAATCATGTAATCTACTACAGAGGAGGTAAAAGCAAAACAGGGAGGAAATCCCCACCCTTTTCATATCTACTTCTCAGGCTACATGTGGCCTTTCAATTCAACTCAATTCAATTCAACAAAACATTAACTGACTACTCAGGTGCCCTAACCCCCGTGACTGGGTTTGGGAGACCCCAGTCTCACAGGCCTGGAACCTGCAGGGCCTCGGCAACTTCCTTCCCCGAGGATCTTCAACTCCCTCAATTCTTTTCCTCGGAGTTCAGTCTGACTCTGGCTCAGGCAAAGTGCAAAGCGCTCTTAGGAACGAACATTATCTGGGTTTCCTAAGCTGCCCCAATACACCCATCAACCTGCACGGGCCTCCAGGGTCAGGAACAAGCCTCATCTCTCCTCCACCCACTGTCACCTCTGGAGCCACACTTCTGCAACTTCCATCTGTAGCACCTTTCACGAATGATAATTTGTCGGTGGGAACTTCCCTAATCTTCCATACTCTGCAACTGCCGTTTGCAAGGCTCACAACAGTACCTGCTTCCTTGGGCCACAAAACACCTCGTTTTCATGCAAGACCCCCCCATGCCTTCATGTGAGAACAGTCAGTCTGCTGCTAACAGCTTCCCTGGGGACGCAGGCTCTGCATGCACAGTCCGTGGGACGGAGATTCCATAAAGTACCCCTACGGACTGCAGACTGAGGGCCAAATGAGGACTGCTAGATGCCCGGATGCCCTTGGGTCTCTAAAGTTTGGTTCCAGGGGCACCTGTATGGGTGTTGGATATGGGAGAGCACTCGAAGAGGCCCGAGGTCCCAAACTCAACCTACGCTCTGTGGCACCGGAAAGATGACCATTTCCTAGTGGAAAGAGGAACACATTAAAAATACTTCCTCGTCCTGCCCAAGAGCATTGCTGTGAATCATCCCCATATTAAGAAGACATCAGGGACTTTGTCAAAATGATGAGAGGAGAAAGGCATAACAAGTTCAGGGCAGAGGCATGGCATAAACAGGGGTCTGAGCAGATGCACTGAAAAGCAAGTGACTAAGGGCACAGTCCCCCTCCACCTCTGAGCCCAGTCCTCCGGTGAGATGAGCAGCTGACACCTGAGAAGCACCTCTCCTTTGTTCTATATCCTTTCTTTTTCTGCATCAGAAAAGTTTCACATAGGCTCATTTCAGGAGTGAGAGTAAGGGGATGAGAAGAGGATAGGTTTGCCCAGCGCCATTTCACAGCTGCGGCAGCTTGGATGTGGAGAGTCAGCCACAGATATCAAGGAGACAACATCTTCCTGCTCTTGGAAGAAGGTTCTGGTATAGAGCCTCAGAAGGGGAGTAACAGAAGAGTCAAGGCTGAGACGAAGTGAGAGAGTGACACGGACTTACATATACTACCGTAAAAGAGATAGCTAGTGGGAAGCAGCCGCATAGCACAGGGAGATCAGCTCGGTGATTTGTGACCACCTAGAGGGGTGGGATAGGGAGGGTGGGAGGGAGACGCAAGAGGGAGGGGATATGGGGATATATGTATATGTATAGCTGATTCACTTTGTTATACAGCAGAAACTAACACACCATTGTAAAGCAATTATACTCCAATAAAGATGTTAAAAAAATAAAAAAGAGTTAAGAGGGCACACGGAGTTCTGACCAGAGAAGAATAAGCAGAGACAATTACCCAGACTTGACCAAACACTCGTGGGTCTTGAGAACATCCTTGAGGAATATGGTACGCAGTGGTTCTCGGTCCTGGGGGGGAAACAGAGAGAGAGTGCATGAGGCTGTCAGCCCAACGCCCAGGCCAGGCAGCCATCATCATCGGAGATGACTGGCTGAAAGCAGGTGACAAACAAGACAAGGTCTCAAAATAATCAAGAGAGGAAAGAAATCTAAGAAGATGCTCTGTGGCCCTGACCACGAAGGCAGGGAGTTAAGGCCACTTTACATCACCGTGAAGATGTGCACACCAGGCGGACAGAGGTTAGACACAAGCACCCCCGGAGTCTGTGTGCCCACATCTCTGCTCGGACACACACACGTGGGTGTGACTCCTGTGCTTCTGCGCTCCACGGCCTCTCAGGCGGGCCCCAGAGTGACTACAAACCTGCTCACACTTGAAGTAGCAGATGGTAAAGTCGTCCAGCGCAAAGAAGCGCCGTTTCCAGCTCTTGCGCTGAAATAAAGGGTAAAGAGCAGGATGTTAGAAGAGTTCCCAGCATTCCCGGGGGTGCGTTCGGGTTCTAAGCTCCTGGGGACCCCGCCCCACCAAGGCCAGGCTCCCACGTTGGGGGTCAGGGGCAAGGACTTCTTCTCATGGGGCGACTCCTCGGATCACCTCGAGCTGTGGGGCGGGAGCTCTCCCCACCCCAGCCTCTCCCTGGTTTGGGCGGTTTGGGCGTGGCTGGCTCCACGCTCCTCCTTGCAAACTGCCCTCCCCTCTGCCTCGCCCACACCCACTGGCTCCCGGGGTCCCCAGAACCCCTCCCAGCCCCCGCATGGACACTCACCACATTCCCTTGCTTCACACAATAGCCGCTCTTAATGAGGGGGGGCCCGGTGGGGACACGGCAGCCTGTCGTGGGGATGTAACTCTGAGACCTTCGAAGGATGGCGTGGGAGCCGGGCTCACTCCCTTCCTGCCCGTCCCCACCGTTCTACAAGGAAACAGCTGCAGGATTAGCGCCTCCCACTCCTGACGCAGCCACACCCCTGACCCCACCCTCTCCAGCCAATCATCTCTTCCTCTTGGGCCACGATGGCAGTCAAGTGAGAAATAAACCAGATGGGTAAGCTGGGACGAAGTGAGAGAGTGGCATGCACTTATATACACTACCAACTGTAAAACAGATAGCTAGTGGGGAGCTGCCACATAGCACAGGGAGATCAGCTCGGTGCTTTGTGTCCACCTAGAGGGGTGGGAATAGGGAGGGTAGGAGGGAGATGCAAGAGGGAGGGGATATGGGGGTGTATGTATATGTATAGCTGATGCACTTTGTTATACAGCAGAAACTAACACACCATTGTAAAGCAATTATACTCCAATAAAGATGTTAAAAAAATAAAAAAAGAGAAAGAAACCATAAAAAAAACCCTTTGGCTTTGCCCCGGGAAGGCACTGTACGGGGTGCATTCACAGACCAAGGCTGGTGAGGTTGGGCAGAGCCGGGAGAAAGGGAAGACTCTGAATGCAAACCGGAGGAGGCCAAGGGACAGAGGGGCTTGTTTCCAGCCATCCTCGACCCCACTTCTCACGGGGTTCACAAGTGCCGGTCCCCGTGGATGATGCAGAGCCGTACTGCCACAGAGCTTCAGATGTGGTGGCCTCAACTTCTGCACTGCCGGTATTTTCCTGACCACCCCATGTGCACTGGCTCCGCTACCCTCACCCCTTCCTACGTCCAGCCCTTCTGTCATGTCACTGACACACCACGGACACCCCCAAACCCCTCCACCCTCTGGCAGCCCCAGGCCCCAGCACCTGGTTGATGGGCGTGTGTACCACCACGCCTCCAATGATCTCTGTCTTGTAGGCTACCTGTGGCTTCTTCTCTAGGGCCAGAGGAGTGGCTAGGCTCTTGACAACTTCGGTCGTCAGGGGCAGGTTCCCAACTTTGGGTACCTGGGAAGAATGACAGAACAGTTAACAGGGAACAGAAGGCCTAGGAAAAGTGGGGAAGGCAACAGCAGGAAGCGGGAGGGGAGGAAAGCTAATGTACGAAATTATAGCATGACGCCCCTCTCCCCGCTACCCTTCCATCCATCCAAACCTGTATATGAGGAATTCAGCAAGCCACGCCCACCCCACGCACACCCACTCAACAAATGTACTGAGCACCTACTATGAGTCAGCCCTTGCCTGGCTAGAGACCAAAGGTAAAACAGCAAACACAGACACGTGTCCTGCCCTCACACCACATACGTGCTGATCAGGGAGACTGACCAAAACTACAGAGCAAGACTAACAATCAGAGTGATTACAAATCGTGGTGAGCGCCGTGAAGACGATAAACAGGAGCTGAGACTGACAGCAGCAGGGGAACGACTTGGAATGGAATGCTTGGCGTGGCTGGCGTGCGTGGTGGAGGTCTCCAAGGGGAGAGATGCCGAAACAGTAACCTGGTGGACGAAAAGGAGCCAGGAACATGAAGACGGGAGAGAGCACTCTCAGCAGTGGGTAAGATGCCTGTGGTATATGGTACAGGACTCGGGGAGCATGAGCTCTGGAGCCCCAGGGCCTGGGGTGTAACTCCTGACCTGTCACTAACTGAGTGACATACTCATACAGTTGTCACGACCATCAAATGATAGAGGATATAAATTTCAACACGTTAGAAATAAGATTAAAACTACAAAAGTATTTTAATTGTCAAAATATTCTAAGTAACTTTTTATAAATGGTGCTAACGTTTACAAATGCAGCCCTTTCTGTGGAATGAGTTATCTTTGCTCCTCTCCATGACAGAGTTCGAGACGGAGTGCAAGAATCACGGAATTTTTAGGGCAAGTTTGAGACCACAGGTTGCAAACTGGTGGCTCAAAGGTAGACTTGCCCCAACTGTGTTTCATTTGTCCTATCCAGTGTGTTTTTCAATCCGCTGTTAAAATCTGGGATATTTCACGTAAAAATCTTGATTTCCAGTGAAACAGCTGTCCACTCTTCGGATGGGGAACGGATTCTTTTCGCCACAGTCCTGAACATCCTCCCAACCCGAGTTCATTGATCCTCATTCATGTTGCCGCTTTTCTTCCTCCTTGTCCATTTCTCATTTATACTGGAAACTTTTTCATCACAAGAGAGGCCCAGAGTGGTCCAGTTCTCTGCCCAAAGCCGATTAATACCTAGACGGAGACCAGACCCTGACGCTGCCGATGCAGTACCCACAGCATCACAAAGCCTGCCCTTCCACAGATGAGGAGAACAAACATACGGACGCCAAGGGGGGAAAGCAGGGGCGGAAGGGTGGGGAGCGGAGATGGTGGGATGAATTGGGAGACTGGGATTGACATGTATACACCAATATGTATAAGATAGATAACTAATAAGCACCTGCTGTATAAAAAATAAAATAAAATAAAATTCAAAAACAAAAAAGCCCGTTCTTCGCAAGGACGCAACGCCCCGTGTGGATCTGCCAGGAAAGTAACTGCAGAGACATCATGAGAAAAACTAACATCCTCTTCCACGTCTTCTACAGCCCTGGGAGCTAGAAAGACCTAAGAATCCAGCCTGTTCAGGAGCTCACGGCCCAAGGATATATTGTATAATGCAGGGAATATAGCCAATATTTTGTGATAATTGCAAATGGAAAGGAACCTTTAAAAACCATATAAAAATTAAAAATTAAGGGACTTCCCTGGTGGTCCAGTGGTTAGGACTCCATGCTTTCACTGCTGAGGGCCCAGGTTCAATCCTGGTGGGGGAGCTAAGATACCGCAAGACGCGCAGCTTGGCCAAAGGGGGAAAAAAAAAGCAGTGGGTGGCTTGTGTTTTAAGCAAGGACCACAGTCCTGAACATCCTCCCAACCCGAGTTCATTGATCCTCATTCATGTTGCCGCTTTTCTTCCTCCTTGTCCATTTCTCATTTATACTGGAAACTTTTTCATCACAAGAGAGGCCCAGAGTGGTCCAGTTCTCTGCCCAAAGCCGATTAATACCTAGACGGAGACCAGACCCTGACGCTGCCGATGCAGTACCCACAGCATCACAAAGCCTGCCCTTCCACAGATGAGGAGAACAAACATACGGACGCCAAGGGGGGAAAGCAGGGGCGGAAGGGTGGGGAGCGGAGATGGTGGGATGAATTGGGAGACTGGGATTGACATGTATACACCAATATGTATAAGATAGATAACTAATAAGCACCTGCTGTATAAAAAATAAAATAAAATAAAATTCAAAAACAAAAAAGCCCGTTCTTCGCAAGGACGCAACGCCCCGTGTGGATCTGCCAGGAAAGTAACTGCAGAGACATCATGAGAAAAACTAACATCCTCTTCCACGTCTTCTACAGCCCTGGGAGCTAGAAAGACCTAAGAATCCAGCCTGTTCAGGAGCTCACGGCCCAAGGATATATTGTATAATGCAGGGAATATAGCTAATATTTTGTGATAATTGCAAATGGAAAGGAACCTTTAAAAACCATATAAAAATTAAAAATTAAGGGACTTCCCTGGTGGTCCAGTGGTTAAGAATCCACCTTCCAATGCAGGGGACGCAGGTTCAACCCCTGGTCAGGGAACTGAGATGCCCCATGCCGTGGGGCCACTAAGCCCACGAGCCGCAACCACAGCACCCACGCGCCCTGGAGCCTGTGCGCCACAACTAGAGAGAAGCCCGCGCGCCGCACTGAGGAGGCCACGCACCGCAGCAGAGGAGCCCACGTGCTACAACCAAGACCTGATGCAGCCAAAAATAAAATAAATAAATACATACATACATTTTTTTAATTTAAAAAAATAAACTATTGCAAGCCACGGGGGGAAAAAAAAAAAGAGCTCACAGCTCAGGGCCATAGGAGAACTCTGCCTGCCAAGGACAGGGACCAAGGGCCACCCCCCCTGGCATCTATCGAAATGACTAAGACCATCATGATTACGCTGGGGCCCCAGAAAGGAGACAGGGCCCCTCTTCCTGGCCTGTGCACTCAGCTTAGACCACGGTGACCTCTGCCCACCAACTCTCCAGATTGGGCCAGAAATCCACCCTGTCCTTTCCTTCTGGCTGAGGGACAACCGCAGCTCCCATTGCTTTGGGCCTCTGTTTAGTGCCAGGCAAGGTACCCATCTCTTTACTGCATTATCTCTCATCTCAGACGATCTTATCAGGTAGGCCTTATTTTCTCCAGTTCATAGATGAAGTAAACTAAAGCTCATTGAAATGAAGTTCATTGCCCCACTGCTAAACACCACTACCTACCTACCTGGACCACCCTTTCTGATTTCTCTGTGTTTTGCTCTGATAAGATAGAATTCTTTAGGGATGTGGATTAGTGCTGGGGTGTCCAGAGATATAATCACCGTGGAACAACACAACTGCCTCCAAATGACCCAAATGAATTCCTGAAACCCAGGAAAGAAGGAGGGAAGTGGCCTTTCAGTGTTCACGGTGGCCAGAAGAGGACTCCTGGTGACTTGGCTGTTGTGTTGCCTCTCAACCCGTCAGCCCACCTGGATAACCGCTGGTTGTCACCACTCATGTCCCTGCATCGTGGGCTGCCTCTGGCCAACCACCTGGAGCCTCTGCAAAGCTGTTTCCACTTCCTGAGACTCTGAATCAGCCTGTGGAGAGCAAACTCACTAATAACTACACTCCAGATCTTGAAAACTAGTTCATTCTCTTGGTTTGTGTATCTCCCAGAATCCCAGTGAAAGGTGGGACCCCTTTCACCCACCGTGGAGGGTCCTCTGATGCGGGAGGCCCACAGGGTTCCCATTTGCAACGTGAAACGAAATTTGCAAGGACTCATCTTTCTTCCCATCAGGCGTGGCTAGGTTGCTACAAGGAATAATCCAACTTGGGAGGGAAGGGGGGAAAGCTGTGCTTTACTTTTACTGCTCAATTTTCAACCCTTTTGAAAAACTTTAGTGAGTTGAATAATGTCTCCCAAAACTGTCCACCCGTAACCTCAGAACATGACTTTGTTTGGAAATAGGGTCTTCGCAGATATAATTAAATTAAGATGAAGTCATGCTGGTTTAGGCTGGGCCCTAAGACCAATGACTGATGCCCTCCTAAAAGGAGAGGTCACACAGACACACAGGCCATACAATGGTGGAGACAGAGATGGAGGGATCCAGCTATTAGCCGGGCAACGCCAAGGACGGCCGGGGGCCACTGGGAGCTGGAAGAGGCAAGCAAGGATTCTCCCCTTGAGCCTTCGGGGGGCACATGGAGGGCCCTGCCGACACCTTGATTTCAGGCTTCTCAGGACTACGCGAGAATACATTTCTGTTGCTTTAAGCCACGCAGTTTGTTACGACAGCCCAAGAAAACTAACACAGGAATACTGATACTCCGAGCGAACTCAATTCTTTAAATACCATTATGTCGACCATTATCTTCAATCGTAAGAACTCAATGACCCAGCACTAAATGACCAGTGATCTGCGGGCAGAAAAACTGGCTCCTGACCCTGGGAGGATCACTGATCTCCAGGCACTTCCGCTGCCTCGTTTATAAACAGAGATAATCACACCTGCCCTCCCTACCTAAGGTTTTCACAAGGCTAAGAGAAGCCATAGATATAAAAGTGGTGCGTAATCTAACCTCTTTTTACAACTGCTGCTCATTTTTCATATATTTATAAACTCTTTGAGATCCTGGAAGTCAGAAGGTCCTGGGTTTGAATCCCAGCTCTGCCATTTACTAAACTCTAGATTTGGGGCAAGACTCTCATTTCCGTTTTCCTCATCTTAAAAATGGCAGTGAATGCACCTGTCTCACCGGAGTGACATGAGGGGTGATGAATGTGGCCCATGAGAAAGCTTGGTTCACTGGATACGCTGTCTGTGTCTTTCATCTCTGCATCTCCCCTGGGATGCTTCACTTTGCACACAAGGTGCCCTAAGATAAAAATGCATGTAATCAGGCAGCAGGGTACCCCTCCTCTTCCTTCTGTCGCACAGGACCTCTGGCAGGAGGAGTGAAGAGATGTATAAACGGAGCAAAGGAAAGTCAGGAGGACCCTGGAGGTTACGGAGCCCCCGCAGAGGCTGTGCCATCCCCGCAGGCCTCTGGACTCCCGGCCTCTCGGTACCATCTCGCCCCCTCCCACTCCTGTCGCCAATCACTTCTGTCCAGTGGGGCCAGGAAAGAGGACGGGGAGCTAGCTGCTTAGAGCAACTCTACACTCAAGGCACAACAGCACGGCAAAGAGGCCACCGCTGCCTTGCAGGCTGTATAGCCCAGTTCACCAGGCAGGACCAAGGGAGGAAACACTTAACGAGAAGAAGGTATTAGACATTGAAAGAAACTCCCCAAATTGTGGAAGACACAGAAGCGTGAAGACCTCAACTTGAATGAAGAAAACCTCTACTAAAGTCAGCATTCTAGAGCCACACACACAAACATGTGGGTAGCAGAAGGGAGTTAGCGGCTCCCTCCCTCATGCCACCCCGCCATTTCTCTCTCTTTTCACAGGTTTACCAACGTTTATCAGAATAATGGGCCAACAAGCAAATCCACTTTGTACTCTGCTTGGGTGCGGTATCACAAGTGCTGGGTAGAGTGTACAGGTTTCTTCTATTACTTTATTAACGGGAACCCTGAGATACCGGGGAGAATGATCTGCCCCAGCACAGACGGGTTGTTACCGGAAGTCACTGGAATGTAAGCATTTCTGACTGTACGATACAGAAAGTCAAGCTTTTCAGCAAAGCGTGGATTGCATGCCCGAAGCCTGCCTATATTGTCGGTTAAAGGCCCAGTTTTTTCCAAACATAGTTTCCCCCTCTCTTCCTCCCTACCCATCCCCCTTTCTTTTTCTGTATTTCTAAGAAAGGAGTTCTTCGTTAGCCGAGTCAAGGAAAACAAGAGTCCTCACAGAACAGACAGTAAACTGGTGCTTATAAACGGAAGGCTTTCCCAGGACAGGTCGGTGGATGGCCTGGACTGGTCCCCAGGTGGCTTCCTAAAGTCAGAAGAGTCTCCCCCAAGCCAGGAACAAGTGCTGACTTCCCTCCTCATGTGAGTTTCCTTTACTCTGTTTCTCGGAGTCAGCAATCCATTTTCCAATCCCGCCACACTCTGAATCAGCATCCCAGAATGACCCAAACCACGACCGACCAGGAGCCCTCCCCTCCCAGGAAGCACAGAGGGGACACTCCATAAACTTCCCCTTGAACCTGATTCAAACTCAGACTCTCAGTTCAACTTGTGGTTAGTCAGCCAAGGTGTGAGAAGAGGTAGGGAAACTAGTCTGGAACAGGGTCCTGGGAAAGTCCCTGCCGCCATCTGGGTCGTTCCCGTGTGGGGAAGAGGCCCTGACCCCCTCCAGAAAGGAGAAAGATCATACGTACAGTGATTTTGCTGGCTTGGTTCAGGGCTTCGACCCAGTCCTTCAGATCTTTCTGGTCATTGGCTTGAAGAAAATACCTCTGCGAGAGGGCGTTGATGACTGCAAAAGGCACGGGGACGAAGAGAGAAGAACCCAGGTCAGAACACACACAACACAGAGACTCCACAAAACTAAGGTGCTTCAACTAGCAGGGCGGAGGATCCCCGCCGCGCAGACGAAGACGCTTCCCACGGTGCAAAGTCACCTGCGTGAATATCTGGGAAGCAGCGGGCTCTCATTTTTAAAAGGTGTGGGTCATTCCATTGGCCACAAGACAACAACAATAGCCTTAATGTGCTGCTGTGCAGGGAGGCAGCTCATCCACCATCCCTAAGACACACGCCTGGACAGCTTTTCAGAGGCGCCAAGAGATTGACAGTCGTGATGATACGTATATAATTTTGGCCGCAGTGTTCCGAGTTTCCGCTGGCACAACTGACCCAGGTTAGGGGTCTTGTCTGTGGTTGAGAAATGTAACTAAGCTTGCCTGCGATCAAGTCTGTGACCTGGACCTCATTTTCAACCTGGTCTTTCCTCTGAGCACTCCATAAAGTCAACAATTTACTTCTGGGTTCATTTTTTTTTTTTTTTTTTTTTTAACTCCGCTGCCCAACTAGCAGGGCGGAGGATCCCCGCCGCGCAGACGAAGACGCTTCCCACGGTGCAAAGTCACCTGCGTGAATATCTGGGAAGCAGCGGGCTCTCATTTTTAAAAGGTGTGGGTCATTCCATTGGCCACAAGACAACAACAATAGCCTTAATGTGCTGCTGTGCAGGGAGGCAGCTCATCCACCATCCCTAAGACACACGCCTGGACAGCTTTTCAGAGGCGCCAAGAGATTGACAGTCGTGATGATACGTATATAATTTTGGCCGCAGTGTTCCGAGTTTCCGCTGGCACAACTGACCCAGGTTAGGGGTCTTGTCTGTGGTTGAGAAATGTAACTAAGCTTGCCTGCGATCAAGTCTGTGACCTGGACCTCATTTTCAACCTGGTCTTTCCTCTGAGCACTCCATAAAGTCAACAATTTACTTCTGGGTTCATTTTTTTTTTTTTTTTTTTTTTAAGATCCGCTGACCACAAAATCTGAGAGTCATGTTGGAGCTTGGTCATGATATTTAAAGGGAGTGGGTGAAAGAGCACAAAAGAAGTTTGCAGCAACCTGAAGCTGGGAAAGGGGACAGATCAAAGAACCATTTTACTTTCCAGGCATAAATAAGCCGGAACTGGAGGAGGTGAGCATTGTGGGGTAGACAGAGAGTCCCTTAGTTCATTCATTTATTCATTCAGCAAATATTTAGTGAGTACCCGCTGTGTGCCAGGAACCACACTCTAAGTGCCGGGGATACAGCAAAGACAAAGCAGAGGAGCATCCCTGTCTTCGTGGAGCTCACACTCAGAACCAGAGGGACAACAGAAGCTGTTAGCATCTGCTCGTAGCACTCAGTACAGCACGGAGAAGGCAGTAGAAGGCAATTAAATACTGATGATTCAATGACCTGCCTCCACTGAGCAGCTCTGCTTCCTGTGTCACTCTCACCGGTCACTCATTTGGCAACAAGACACTCAACAGAACCTTCCTCCTTTTCTATTATCCCCCAACTCCTTCAAGTCTCCACGTTTCCTGAGCACACCGTTACTCTGCTCTGAGATGAAGGTTCCCGAAAACTTCAGGTGGATACCCGGCACCCCGCCCCGCGGAGCCAAGAAACTGAGACATCACTGGCCCCTGTGCCTCTGTCTCATGTCGTTAACAATCTTTGCAGGGAGACCAAGAAATGGAGTATCACTTGAGACCCACGGACATGGCTGGGACAGCAGTCACTCACACACACAGGGTAGAAGTCACATGTGGTCACAGGACTGTCCCCACTCGAAAGAGGAAGCTGCTGTAGGAGTGTTCAGAAAACCCATCCTGGGCTCAGTACTTACCAAAGCAAAACGGAGTCTTGGGTTTCTGCTTTGGGGTGGCTATGCTCACCTAAATCAAATGAAAAATAAAAGAAACATGAATATGTTTCCAACAGTGTTGTAAAGTTGTGGGGGTTTTTTTTTCTCAAATTTTTTAAATTGGGAAAACTTTATACAAAAAGAAGAGTATATAAAACATATTTGAACATTTTAAAAACTAATAATTAAGTGGAAACCTGTACTCATCATCCAGATCAAGAAATAAGCCACTATCGGTCCTATTTCTTAGAAGCCCTTTGTGTGCCCCTCCCTGATGGAATCCCGTCTTCACCCCTCGGAGATAATCACTATCTTGATATCTGTGTTGAATCTTCATCCTTGCAAAAACTCTTAAAATCCACTGAGTCCTGATAAAATTCTCTTTGGACCACAGACATGCACTGGCCCCATTCACACGAGCAAGATTCCACTCCTCTCCCAGCCACCAACCTGCTCCCTAAACAGCTCTTCGAATTAAAGGTGGAACTGTCACAAATACATAGATTCCAATCAGAGTTCGCAGAAAGGTGAGGCAGCCCGTCACTCACTGCACTGGGACAACTGATCAATCTCCCTTATCTCTACCCTGACTGTTTCACCATGAAAATAAGCACTTGCCACCTGCTCAGAGAGGGGCCGATGGAATCAGAGAGCATACCCGTATTGAAGTAGAAGGGTTTTTCTATCTCCTGCTGTGTTATCCTGCTTTTTCAAGCCTGCCTCTTACATGTATATTCCTGAGTATGTGCATGTTGTGAGCCCACCTCATTCAGGTTCAAATACACTGAACAAATAAAGGAAAGCATATTCCATCATATGGAATTAGGTGACTGCCCTTGATGGACGCTGAACCTCCCTGGAGCAGGCATCCACCACTGTACCTGGGAATTAAAATTAATACTGCCCGGAATACTCAAGACGGGAACCAAGGTGGCAGCCTATAAAAGATCAAAGGAAGGACAGGGGGTACAGCCTGGGCTTCGGTGCCAGAGCATAAGGCCCCCAATCCCAGGCGGCCCAGTTGTCAGACCCCCATTTCCTGTTCTATCAGATAGGGTTAGTAAATCACATTCTCATAGGGCTATGGTGAGGATTAAATGTGACAGTGCAGGTGAAGCACTTAAGCCATCCTGTCATACAGGAGCTGCTCAACCAAGGAGGAGCTATTTACACCCACTCCACATACCAATACAAGCCGTGCCATGCTTGGCACGATGGGCAAAATGCTGAGGGCCTTGTGAGCTTCTCCCGGGCCTAAAAAACTGCAACATTAATAAATATTTAATTAAGTGTCTGTATAACATTATATCAACCTCATTGACAAGTATTTAAATAAATGCCTACAAGATGTCACACATTAAGTCAACTTCATTCACCTTTCAATTAAACATTCACAAAAATCGCACTACATTCGAAAATAATTAGTAGCTTCCATTTTCTTGGTTCATAAGAATCCTTGGATGTGCAAGATGATAGCCGAGAAATTAGAGCCAATTATAAATTAAATGAGTTACAGCCAAATCATTCCAAAAGTAAAATGATTTAAATCCTTTCAAATATCTTACAGCCAGACAATTAGAGTCAACGAGGGATGTGAGTGCATTTTGATATGTTTACCATGACGTGAGGTGGAGGACAGAGGGCCTAAGAAAGTGTTTAAATAGTCCCGAAAAACATGAAGATTCATGCAAAGGTAAGGCCCCCATATCCTGAGTACAGACACACGCAATGCAAATCCCGTTACATCTTCAGCACTCCCAGGAAGCGTGCGCTGGAGCCTCATGACGCTGAGTCCTGGCCCCCGTGCCATCTTGTTCTCCTGGGATTCAGACCCCAGAATTCAATCTGAACCACACTGTGTGCCTTTATCCTGTTTGCCTCTGATGCTCTGATCTGTCAGTGACTCATGTGCTTCCTACTTCAGCATCCGTGTTCCTGCAGGTCCTTGAGCCCACAGCTCCTATGCGCCCTGCCCTTGGTTCCTGTATAACCTTGACCGTCGCAGAACTGCCTCGACCATCCCGGTCCTCAGTACCCACGTATCTCACGGCTGCCCTTCTACCTTTGGCTTTCAAATGGCAGTGAAAAGCTGGGCGCTTCGAGGCTCTTCTCTGGCTTATTAGGAAACTTGTTCTTTCTCCCCGACACCGACAATTTATCATCAACAAGAGAGAGCACCACTGTGGGCCCTTTCGCCCTGGCTGGGTGACAAACAGGCCCACTCTGACCACAACTTATTACCAGCCTATCCGGGGAGAATGTGCTTATTACCGGAACCCAAGCTTTCAAAGAGATGGCCTGGTTTTTCATTTGTTTTTGTATGTTTATCCAGCGTTCAGTTGGGGGTACGCCGATTACACGCATGCACGTCTATAATTTGCCTCATGGTGACCACAGGAGGATTATTTGGCAAAGCAGCTCTTGCTGAATTAACAGGACGTCAGTTCCAGGTCAGCCCCGATGGGCTGTTGAGCAAGGGTAAGACCCTCAACATCTCTGATCAGCTTCCCGATTGGCAAAGCCAGGGCGGAATGACTTGTCCCCTTCTTAGAGTCCCAGAATGACAAAAGAAGAAAACAAAGTCATAGCTACTCGTTGCTGTGCCCTCCAAGAGAAGGGCCAGGGTTGGGGGCGGGGAGTCTCACTTACCATGAAGAGGTATAGCTCTGGCCTCCCCTCAGCAGAATCCCCGCCACCTGGGAGGCATAACCCCACTCCTCCCACCCCTACCGTCTGTTGGTAACCAGGACAGGTCGTGCAGCCTCCTTCACAAGAAGTGAAGGAACAGAGGCTCTTGAAGAAGCAGTGTGGCTGACAGGCTGACGCTGACGCAGTGGCTGCAGTTAAGTAGCTGCACAACGGTGGTTGACCGATGGACCCTCGGTGAGAAGGCAGTGAGAGGCGGTCGGGACGTGAGGGAGGGACGGGCACGGGTCGCCCGCAAGGTGACGCAAGCGAGGCCGCCCCACAGCTCGACAGACTCTCAGGAACTTGCTCTTATCAGATCGCGCACAGACCACAGGAGCAGCAAAGTCGTGGGGCGCCGGGGCACTGCTAGCCCGCCCCACCCTGTCTGCCCTCGGCCGGAAGTGGAGCTGGGGCCCCTCTGGCAGAAGCAGCAGCAGCAGGCCACGGTCTCGGAGCTCCGGTGCAGCTCGCGGCCTCCGTGTCCACGGAGACCCTGCCCCACGAGGTGGCATCAAGAGCAGGGGAAGTGGCAGCCACCTACCCAGAGCAGTCGGAGGGGCTCTAAGCTGGGGTCTCTGGACCAGCTTCAGGGAGTCAAGGGGACCTGAAGCCACAGGCAAAATCAGGGTGTGTGCACACATGCATGATTTACCTGGGAAACAAGACCACGCTTTTCATCAGACTTTAGAAAGGATCCCTGACACCCCGCCCCTGCAAAAGCCAGGAACACTGTTCCAGGAGGGTCTTCATTACAGTTAAGGAAGGGCCAGGCCCTGACAAAACGGAGGTGGGACGGTGGGCCTGGCTGTGTGGAAGAGAAGGGCCCCCAGGCAAAGCGGGGAGGTGGGTAGTACCAGAGGTCAGCATCCATTTTTTTCTGGTTTGCCCAAGAACTGGTCCTGCCTCTGTCAACGGGCTGGACAACCAGTCAAGAAGCTTTATCTCTGCTGGCCTCTCTGAAGGACCCCATCTTCCCAACACCAGGCTGCAAGAAGGAGCACGCCTGAACGAAGAGGCCACACAGACGCTCCGGCCAGGCTGCCACTGCCGGTTAAACGCCTTCCTCGGGGAGGGAACACCTAGGGGTTAACAAGAAGTAACCCGGAACGCCGAATTTGATACCAGCACCCGGCTAAATGTTTTTCTGGGAAAACCCCTGCTTTCTGACATTGGGTCAGGCAGCAGTTAAAGGCTCTCCTCTCTGTGAAACCTGACCCAGTGGCAGCTGTGGGTTTTGCAAAACCCATCCAGTTCTGCCTCTCCCATCCATGAAGGGTAAGAGGCAGGACCATCCCTGCTAAATGACGGCAGCCTCCCAAGCTGAGAGTTCTAGGAACGCTCATCTGCGCTATGTTTATACATCACGATTCTGCAGATCGTGTTCGCTCTTCTCCCATCAGGAAAAACAGCAACGACTCTCAAACAGGAGAGGGTTTGGAGTTTCTTTAATATTGAGGTTCTCTGCTCCCCGCTCTCTGAATCCTCTTTCTTTGAACCTCCTAACGAAATGACCTAATGAGCTCTCAGCAAGGCAGGACAGAAGAGGGGAGGGCCCAGGCCTCTGACCTCTGGGCCGGGAGTCGGCCACATTCCAACCACAAGGCATGCAAATTGCCTGCTTCCACAGGCCCTTCCCCCTCCGCAGGTCCTTCCCTTCTCCCTCTAAGGCACTCAAACACTGCCTGCAGCTTCTGCCTTGGCACCCGGCTGTGTCTGCCAGACTCTGGCCTGCAGCCCCTGCAGCTGCTCCCACCTCCGGCCCAGCTGAGATGGAGGGCTGCCCAAGGACTCCCAAAGCCTGTTACAAAAAGGAGCCAGGGACCACTCAGATCAGGGCCTCATCCCCCCTGAGGTTGGGAGAACGTGGGCAAGGAAGCCGAGGTCCCCAAGAGACTTGACGTGAGGGGTGTGTGGGGAGAGCGGGCCTTCCGGAACCTCGGTCCTGGCTGGGCGCCACCTGGCTCTCCTCACTGGACAGAGCTCCTCTTTCTAACGAGGCTCTAAATCTCCCGGCCTTTTTTTTTTTTTTTAATCACTGCTGCACCACAGTTCAGCGCTGGTGCCTGCTCCAGGGAGGGGCCACTAAACAAAGCTGAATTCAGCAGCTACGTCTGGGCATCAGCAACCAGCCCCAGGCCCCACCCAGGTCTCAGCACGGAAGAGGGGCTGCTCTCGCCCTGTCTGTGCAAACAGGACCAGGGGACGAACTGTCGGCCTGCCCGCCGGACCCTCCAGCCCTTATCTGGCCGCTGAATGGCTTCCTGGCTCATCTGGGAACGTCCTCGGGGCGCTCGTAGCCTCCCTGCCACAGTGATCCAGTGACCATGTTCTATAGACCCCCTCAACACTCCCCCCAAGTCGGTCAGTTACTAAGCCCAGCCCTGTAGTTGAAAGGTGCCAGGGACATTTAGTTGTTAATGATCCATGCATTTTATGACACAGGCCCAATTATTAACGCTATTTGGGTACTGGGCCAACATGAAGTGCCTCTGCTGTGCCATCAGCGAACCTACCAAGAACCAAGTGTGTGAAAAGAACAACAATAACAATAAAAAGACACAAAATGTTAAGACTAGGAAGTCATCATAGGTCAATAACTATTTAAATAAATAAAAATGTTAGACACTGAATTCACCTCTATATCCTTATATTAAATTCCTTTTTTCCTTTATTCATTTTGTTTTTGCAGTTGAAAAATATACCTCAACCCACGCTTTTGGTTTGACCACGTGTCTGTTGTTGTTAAACATTAAATATCATTCTGAAAACACAGTGATTTAATTATAATTTAACTTTTGGCCCTTCAACGAAATGCATATAATTCCAGTGCAGCCCTCACTCCTTGTGAGCCACGCCAGTGGAACCACGCCGTTCGGGAGAATCCTTTTCAGTCACCAGGTTTTTTGTTGTTGTGTTTGTGTTCCTTTTTGTCCCGATTGCAAAAACAAAGTCACGTCCCACTCTTCCCTCCACCCCCCATCCCTCCTTTGTAGGAGCTGGCAGCATCACTGACTGCTGGGTGCCAGGAGTGAGAGGCCGCAGGCCACCCTCCAAGAACCTGCTGACCACACGCCACCCCGCCCCAGTCAGCCACAAGCTTCCACGGGCCACCACTTTATGGCCAAGCAACATCCCCAGATGCCAATGCCCAACGTGTGACGCTTCCTCTGCTTTACATCCTCAACCTACTCACGGACCATGAATCCCCAGAGCTCCAGGCCAACGTTACCTTCGAGATGTAGGTCAGCTGCAAAGATCCGACGGCTCCTGCCCCAACTGCCAGGTTCTGAAAGACACACGTTTTGCGTTTTAAGAAGGATGCTATCTGAGGCAGTGAAGCACGACTGAGTCAGAAAACCAAGATTCTGGTTCCGTTGATGCCATTTTCTGGCTTTGCAACCTTGAGCAAGTCACCTACCTATTTCTTTTTTGATTTTTGATTTTATATTGGACTACAGTTGATTAATAATGTTGTGTTCGTTTCAGGTGTACAGCAAAGTGATTCAGTTACACATATACATGTATCTCTTCTTTTTCAAATTCTTTTCCCAGTTAGGTTGTTACAGAGTATCGAGCAGAGTTCCCTGTGCTACACAGTAGGTCCTTGTTGGTTATCCTTTTCAAATATAGCAGTGTGTACCTGTCAGCCCCAGACTCCCTAACTATCCCTTTCCCCTACCCTTCCCCCCTAGTAACCATAAGTTCATTCTCTAGTCACTTACCTATTCTTCAGCTCACTTTCCTCGTCTGTAAAATAGTGATAATTCTTGCTGTGGGTATGTGGACTTAACGTTTCCCTTGGCCTCATTTATTATAGAGAGGTATTCTAGTACAGTGGTTAAAACTGGGGGCTCCACCATTTGACTGTGAATAAGTTCCTTCACTGCTAAGCCTCAGTTTTCCCTTCTGTAAAAAGAGGGATAATGATAGTACCTACCTCACCAGACAGTTCTAAGGATGAGTTAATAGATTTACACCACCTGGAAGTGTCCCTGGTATATAGATGACTCTGAACAAGTGCTAGCTATTTTATATATATATATATATATATAAAATTCTTCAAATTCAAATTCTTTTCTTAACAAATAGGGTACAGGTTCACACAATATAGGAAAAAAAGAAAAGAAAAAAACATAGCTGTTCATTCTATTCCAAAGGACACTTATGAGTACCAAATGGAATGATGTCCATACACTATAAAACACTAAGTCAGTGCACTATTAAAACATCAAGAAACTCACAGGCACCTTGTCTGGCAATATTCTACCCTGGCACAATCTCTTCGGCTTTCTAACTTCTCCACTGTCAGAAATGAAGTGATAAAGACACACGGGCAGTAGCGTACCAAAAAAATGGCCAAGATGAGAAATCACAGCTGTGGAGTTTCTCGTTTATAACTTGGCAAATCCAATCCCACAGGGACCTGAGGTGTCCATAGCTCCTGGTGGCCTCTTAAACTGCTGCCATAGGCCTCAAAGAATAACCTGGAAGCCCTCATTTTGAAGAACTGGGGTCTTCTCAAAGCAATAAACAGAGGCAAATCTAGGACGATGGGGATTTAGTAAACTTCCTAAAGGGTCAATGGTGAAATGACCTGTCATTCCAGGAGACTGCCCTGAAGAAATACCTTAGGTGGCAGGGAAGTGTCTTTCTAGGCCCAATTACCTAAATTAACATGCATCACTTGAAGCAAAGGCAATGTGTGAAGTTTCCTATTCACAAGAAAATGGATGGGGATAAAACCACAACAAAAGGATTCTCAGAGCTCAAGAAATTTAGAGAGAAATCTAGAAAGGCCATCTCCCCCCTTTTGCAAATGAGGCCATAAGTCTAAAAGCTGCTTTTGAGTAGCTGATTTAGCATTTTGAATATGGACGATTAGATTTACACATTTGTTTTAACTACATAGTGATTGCATTTGTTTTGGGGTTTTTTTTTTAAGAAAAATCTCTATTGGGGGCTTCCCTGGGGGTGCAGTGGTTGAGTCCGCCTGCCAATGCAGTGGACACGGGTTCGTGTCCCGGTCCGGGAATATCCCACATGCCGCGGAGCGGCTAGGCCCGTGAGCCACGGCCGCTGAGCCTGCGCGTCCAGAGCCTGTGCTCCGCAACGGGAGAGGCCACAACAGTGAGAGGCCCGCGTACCGGAAAAAAAAAAAAAGAAAGAAAAATCTCTATTGGGTAATGACAGATAGGCCTTGTATCCCTAAATCAGAGTCCAGAAAGGAGCCACAGCACCCCAAAAGGCCAGTGAGCAGCTGACACTGCCCTGGAGGAGGCCGTGAACCACCCTAGGCCTCTGCTGGACACTGGGCGCCTGGCCTTCCCCAGCCCCTGTTCTGCACTTGAGGAAAGTGACTCTTGAGTGAGGGGATTTGCTCAAGGTCGGGTCTCCTGACTTCCACGCTCATAGCCTAGATGCAGCACACGGTCATTTCAAACCCTTGAGCGTCTGGAATTCCACCTGAGACATTATCGCCCTAGGACCTCAGGCAAGTTTCTCTACCTATAAAATGGGGCTCATCCGCCCCATTCCCTAGGCTTGTTGTGAGAGTTACATAAGAATAAACAGCGCAAGCCCAGCAAAGGGCAGCTCCCATCCCCGGCCCAGAGCGCTAATTACAAGACGCAGATGCCAAGGCTCAGAGCCACTCTTGCTCAACTTGCTTTCCTCACCCCAAACCGCAGCCTGAAGGCCTCCAGAGCCTTAGCCTGAATTACAAGCGATGAAGTGGGATTTGGGGAGCCACTCAGACACTAACCTGTGCGTCCTGCCAGATATGAGCTGATCCCATTCCAGCGACTCTCCCCCCTACCCTCCAGAGGGAGGGCAGCTCCACCCTCAGCCCCTGCCCCCCTGAGCTCTCCCGCTTCAGAGACAAGTCCACATCAGTCTCCCGGCCCAGCTACCCTGGGACGGGGGTGCCCTCACGCCCCTCACCACGGCCCACCCTCGGCCTGCCTGCTCCTAGGCTCACAGGCACCTCCCTCCTCCATGAGGAGCCAGGAAAATCTGACGCATGTCTGAAAATGCAGCTTCCCCCCACCTTCCTCCCCACCCAGGGGGAAGTGAGTGACAGGAGAAAATAGCGCCAAGATCACAGAGGCTTGATCCAGACGGATGGCTCAGTGTCCGCTCCGATTGCTGGACCTCGGAGATGAATGACAACAGCTCGCTGCCAGGATGGCGGCCCCGGGGCAGACACTTCCCGGGCCAGGAAGAATGTGCCAGCTGCCTGAGCAGAGGGCTTCGCAGCCAGATGTCAGGGCAGGATCACCAGGAGCCAGCGCCTGGGGAGGGCCAGGTGTCAGAGCCCAGGCAAGCACCATCTCCTCTGGGGAAAGGATGGGAGGCCCTGCCTTCACAAAGCCTTGTTGTCTACCACGGCAGCCTGCCCTGCCCTCCCACCCCCGCCTGAATTCGTGCACGCCATCCTCCAACTTTGGTGCACATCAGCCTCTCCCAGGGAGCCTGTTTTAAAAGGCCCGGGCTCAAGCCTCACCTGGAAAAACACTGAATCAGAATCAAGTGGAATATGGTCAGAAAGTGCACATTCATTTTTCAAGCATCCCCTAAATAGGCCCAAGTTTGAGAACACCCGTCTACATGACAAAGTCTAGCCCTGGATTTGTTGTTGTTGTTTCTGGCCACACCGTGCGGCTTGCGGGATTTTAGTTCCCCGACCGGGGATCGAAACCGTGCGCCCCTGCCATAGAAGTGCGGAGACCTAACCACTGGACCACCAGGGAAGTCCCCAGCCCTGAGTTTTGTATTGGAGCGTATTTTCCTGTGAGTTTACGTCTCTTCTTGCTAGATTTTAAGCACTCTGAGGACATGAGTAGCATCTTATTCCTCTACCCAGGAGACAACTCGATTTTTAAATGAAAACACAATTTGCATAGTGGTTAAGTTCCCAAAGCAGTCCTTAAGAGCCTGCTACCCTCATAGGATACTGGACAACCAGGACAGCTTCTCTCTACCACTGGCAAACATTGTGCCTTCGGGAAGACCTGTTCAAGTTCGAACTCGGGTGTCACTTGAGTCTGCAGTTCCCCTGTCCTGGGGCAGGGCTCCTGTGGGACAGGAACTGGGTGCAAGGGGGAGCGAAAGGAAAGGGTCCCCAGTAGAAGGGAGTCAAGGGAGTCAAGGACCTGGGGGAGGGAGTTGAGGAAGGGGTTAGGGAGGGGCCAGCAGACGGGGAGTGGAGACAGAGGTTGATGGGGAGGCTACCTGTACGGATCACCTGAGGACGTTTTCATACAAAGAATGCCCATGCTTCATTCCAGGGTTTTAGCATAAAGGGTAGGGCCCAGGCACCTGTTTTTAAAGCTCGAAGGTGATTCCACCCCACGGCCAGGTCTCAGGCCCCCAGTTGCAGACTGTGGCTCGGCCTGCTGACTCTGCACTGGAGACCCAGCAGCAGATGAAAAAGGCCAGTCACCCCGTCGTTGCACCGTGATGGTGCAAGAGGGAAGAGGAAGACGCCAGGGCAGTGGGCAGAGAGGGGGAAAGGAGATCCCAGCCCCACGATGGGTGTCTGTGAGTCAGGATCAGCCTGTCCATTTCTGGGGCTTCTAAATTTTCTGGAACAACATAGGGCATAAGGCACGTTCCTATTTAATGGCAGATGGTTTTAAGAAGGCGCGGCCAACCCTTGCTTTCTGCTCAAGGGTTCTCCTGCCACCAAGGGCCTCAAGGGAGCTCCCACTCCCTTAACTGGGAAGCAGGAGGTTGATTCTTTCCCATCACCAAGGAAGGAGCTGAGGTGCCCACAGAGATGTGACACACCTCCCAGGGGAAGCCGTTTTGCTAGAAGCAACATTGTTTCTTGAAAGAGAAAAATGTCCCCATCTTCTAATGAGAGTAACAAGAACACAGAAATGACCAGAAGACCTATCTACAGATTCCTAAATTCATGGAATGTCAGCGCCAGAGGGTTCTGCGGCTGCCCCATCATTCACCACGAGTCCTCTAAGCCTCACCCTGAGGAAATGACTTCCTCAAGGAACCGAGTGAAGACAGACAGAGGTCCTAACTCCCAGAGTCAATCGGGTGCTTTGGCAAAGCACAGCCCGAGAAAGGAAGGCGGAAACTGACAGATGTTTAGAGTCTGTTTTGTACCAAGCCTGCTGCACACTGTCAGTTCATCCTAACAACCCATTTCACAGATGAGGAAAGTCGGGATGGAGCAGGAGAAGCAAGTGCTCCAGGTCACATGGGTACTGGGTAGTCAGGCGAGGATTTGAACCCAGCCCTTGTTGATTCTCAAATACCATGCACTTTCCT